CTCGACTCAGATTTTTTTTTTTTTTTTTTCCAAACATATAAGTTTGTCTCTTTCTTTTTCTAATTTTTTTTTTTTATTAATCCTCCTTCTATGGCTCTATCAACAATCGACTATGACTTTGGTCCTAATACAAATTGTCCATTAGTCCTAGACAAAATGTATCTTTCAATTGTTTCAAAAAAGAAGCACCACGTACATCGTATTTCTGTAAATTTGATTCTCACCCAAGCCGTCCATACTTTCTTTATGCTCTATCGGCTTTAAAATAAATGCTTTAATCCAACTTTTGCATTATTCATGTACACTAATTTATTTTATATTTTTAATTTGTTTTTTTTTTTGGATGGGATATACACCAATTTATTACTTTAACCGTCGATGGTACTTTATATACGAAGTATAAGATTAATCATGTCGTCATCATATGGGTACTTGTTAGAATCATTTAAATGTATAATTTTTAAATATAAACTTTTTATAGCTTATAGTAGTTGATATTTAAAGAATTTATTAGTCAAAGTTTCGGGTGACAAATATATCAGTTAAAACATACATCTATACTAATATTTTAAAACAGGAACTTTTGCAAATTATACAAAGTGCCACGTGGCATTTCTCTAATATCCATCATATTTTTATATTTTTTTTATTACTTTAAATAAAACATTTTCATTCATTCCTTTTCATCATATAATTTCCCATTTTCTTGGATAAATGTACTTTCAATGCTTATCATGATTCTGAATAGCCTCCAATAATAATTACTGAAAACTTCAGTTTCCAACTCTCATTCCAAATGATAGTCATTATATATAAATTCGAAATTCTCTTCCTTTTTCCCATTTTATTTTCATGTCTAAAATTTCTTTTCCCTTCCTATTTTTCTAATTTGAATTATACAACCTTACACCGCAATTGAGTTGATTTCCTTCCTTCCTACGAAGTATTTTTCTAATTTGAATAATACAACCTCATATCGCAATTGAGTCTATTTCATAAGTTTATAAGTCAATTTGACCAAATTTTGTATTGATCAGTTTCATACTTTCATCAAATTTGTCATAGAAAGGTTTGTTTTCTCTATGTTTAACTCCCACATTTTTAATTTTTTTTTTTATCAATTTGCAATTTTACAATTTTAATTTCAATTATAAATATTGTGATAAATTAAATTATTGTATGGAGTATTCAATATTTATGACTAAATGATGTTATTGTTTTATAAAAATTGAATATTTGTTGGGTCTTTGAAATCGGTGAATATTATTTTTGCAAAATCAGTCATGTGCATTATTTTTTTTTTGTTGGAAAATTCCTAAATACTACTTCGTATATGACCAGACTCCTAAATACTACTTCAAATATAGAAGTTGGTCAAATCTATTATGTTTTTGCAATTTAAAATTTTAAAATTTATGGGTTTTCAAGTTTCTTGTATTATTTCATTGGTTGTTGGATTTTTTTTTTTTGTGTTTTTGGAGTTCAAATTTGCTAACTATTGGATTTTAATTTTATGTTTCAAATTTCTTTTTTATTCATAATTTTACACTATTCGAGCTAAATTAAAAAATCCAAAAAAATAACCTTCCAAACGTTTTCATTCCCCTGAAAAATGATGAATTTTCATTTGTGTCTCTTCATCTCTTGGTTTTCCTCTATGTCCCAAACGTTTCGATTTTTTTGTGTGTTTTTCAATATTATATTTGCTAAAATTTGAAATAAATTGGTGAAACAAAATTTTATTTATTGGTAGAGTTTTAGTTTTTTTTTTTTTTTTTTTTTTTTTTTTTTTTTTTGGCTTGATGCAATTTGTATTACTTAATGTTACATTTCATATGATGTATTTCTTTTCCTATTAAAAATATATTGCATTACATTTACGTACGTAGTATTACATTTTAATTTACTAAAAAAGTGTGATTTGTATCTACAAATGTTTTTTATTTTCTTTCAATAAAAAAACTTTTGATTAAAAAAAGTCTAAATGCATATATATTTAGACAAAATGATTATTCCGTGCATCGAGCTAAATACTAGTTTTATTTTAAAACTGGGAGTGTACATGTCCATACAATTTTGTTTTTTGGTGCAAAACTTGCATGTACACAACACACACTATCATCCAAATAAAATAAAATAAAATAAAATAATGCAACCTACCTACTAACCTTCAATCATTATTCTCATTTCTCACGGTTCGATACTAATAGTACTCCTGCGGTCTGCGGAGTATTATTCAATGTGTCTCATATGTTTATAATCTGTGTCTACTTCAATTGTTATATTCAAAGTTTGCAAAATTTATTTCAATATTTGACACTTACTAGTTACTATTATAGGTGACAAAATCGAACCGATCCGAAAAAAATCATCCGTTTCGAATTGTAACTGATCCGATTTGACCCAAAAAATTCATAATCCAAATCTGATCTGTAACCGACCTTAACTTAATCCGAATCCGAATTTAACCCGACTTGAACTCAACCTGAACCCGATATGACCCGACTTGAACTCAAACTGAACTGATTTGACCTGACTTGAACTCAACCCGATTTGAAAATGACCCGACAAATAACCGATTTAATCCGATCTGTTATAACTCAAACTGATATTAACCCGACCCGATTTTAAACCGATCCGATTTTAACCCGTCCATAATTTTAAACCTAACCTATTATAATTTACCCTTTTTTTTTTCAAGTTCTTATACTACTGTAGATTTACAAATGTACTAATTATTAATAAGTTAGAAAGTCTAAAATTCTAACAAATATCTTATACAAATTGAATTAGTAATAAAGCAAATTAATAGTACTTGTAGCCTCATTAAACAATTGAAGATTGGTACCTTAAAAAGAGGACATTCTTTTTTGTATATCACTATATGTGAGTATGTGACTATCATCTATCAGTCTATCACTAGTTCATTACTAATCGTCTCACATATGTACGTCGGTATGATAATTCATCGATAATTATTCAATTTAATTTGGCTCCAAGATAAATATTACACAAGAATTGATTGAATGAGAAAATTAATTCTTCGCATTTTGTAATAATTAACCACACAATATGAAAAATGACACATGAATGACTTGATATCAACCCAATAATAAGGTAAAAATTCAATAATTTCTCTAGTTTAAAAATGATCTTATTTGGATATTGAATTTGGTCAACTCGATCAAAATCTAGACAAACACGGAAAGGATTTGAATCGAAATTGACCAAATATTGAACCAACCTTATTTTAATCAAATCGAACTTGACCGAATCGAAATCATCTGAACCGAAATCAACCCGACCCAAATTCATCCGACCCGAAATTAACCCAGACAAATCGTTTTGAACCTGATTCTAGAGTTGACCCGACCCATATTCGACCTGGACTCGATATACCATGACCCGTATTTGACCCGACCCGATTTTGACCTGACCCGATCCGAGTTAAAGAATAATTTTGATCCAAACATATCCGACCCGAATAAACCCGACTCAAACACCATCCAGTTATCTGAATCAACACCTCTAGTTACTACCGTGTAATAAAGTCTATTTGTGGTAAAAAAATGTTGGTTAACTATGGCCAAACGAGGGTTAAGGTTGATTCTTGACGTTATTTCTGATTTTATTGTTGATAACTATGGTTAAATGTTGGTTAACATAACTTTATTTGATTCATGTGATTTTGTTTGAATTTATTATATTCGAACAATTTTCTTAAAAATCATAATTTATTTCATTTTGTTTACTTAGACCCTGTTCACTTCACGTTATTCAAGTAGTATTAAGTTAAAATAATTTATGTTCAGTAAGACTTTGTTCACTTAATAATAATATGTTATATTTCTTCTTTAAAGTTACATATTTTTACTGAATTGAAATTAAATTTATTGAATTGAAATTATTGTTATTGAACTGAACTTAATTCGAAATTAGTTCTATTGAATTGAAATTATTTTTACTAAACTGAACTTAATTCTATTGAGCTGAAATTATATTTATTGAACTGAAATTTTGTTCACTAAACATTTTTTTTGAGGTGAAGTGTATAGGGCCTGAAAACAAATTTATATTAGTAAAAATAAGTAAAGTTCAATTCATTAAAAAAATTTTAATCAGTTAAAATTAATTATTTTATAGAACAAATATAATAAGAAATCAGTAAAAATAAGTTTTAATCAGTAAATATAATTAAGTTCAATCAAAGTAATTTAAGTTAAGCAAAAATAGTAAATTTCAGTTCACTAAAAATAATTTCAATTCGGTAAAAATTAGGTGAAGAGAACAAAGCCTTATAGTACCTTATTTTATTTGAACTTATCAGAACATATATATTATTTTATCTAAATTTTTTTTTTGAATTTCCAAACTTTAGTCTCTTTTGATTTTTGCTAAATTAAAATTATTAAAGTTACGGATTAAAAGTTTTTTTTGATAAACTGGACTTATTTTAACTCATTTTTATTGAATTTAATTAATTTATTTTTACTGAACTTAACATATTTTCACGTACTAAAAATTATTTGAATAAGGAGGACTGTTGGAGTATATTGTACATACTTTGTCTGAAATGTTTTCATCTGAACTTATTTATTCTTATTTAAACTTATATATTTGAAATAAAATATATGCGTAATTAATGTTCCGTAAATAAGATGAAATAAAAAGACCTTTTTTTTTTTTTTTTTTTTTTTGGTATTCCACTCGGTTCACCCTTTGAGCTAATCCGGATTTGGGGATCAATTACGGGTGATTAGGTTCCAATTCCCTCTCAATTATTGTTGCTGGAAATCGAACACGCGATCCTCTAAAGTGCAGTCCCATCACCACTGCACCATAGGTCAATTGGTTAATTATTTTTTTTGTAAGTAGTTGGAACATTGAATAATAATGCCAGGTCATCTTGATCTATGTCTTTGTTTTTATCTACTCATCATAGTTAAATTTGACCCAAGCAAGTGAAAAAAATCGAAATAAATAGGGAGGATTGCAAGAACCACAGCACCCATCGACCCAGAAATCTAGAGTGAGAGAGAAAGAGAAAGAGAAAGAGAAAGGGTGGGTCAAATTTTAGAGAGAGAAATAGAGAGCGTGATTGCGATCTCTAGAAAACGTGTATTCACAATTATTTACGTGTCATTTAAATTACCCTCTTTTTCTCTAAAAATTCTCCACCTTTTAATAGTTTTGTTGTTTTAGATCACTTTTTGTTGTTTTGCCCAGAAGGTGTTTGTATAAATTCCTCACTGAAACAAAGAGGAGAAGAAAAACAAGCAAACAAGTTCCTGGGTTAGGCAGGAGCATCAAGAAAAGTAAAATATTTAAGGGTTTTAGATTTAAGATTAAAAATTTTTGATTTTCGTTTCTGGGTTGATTTAATTTTTTGAAAAATGGGTAAATCTGGGTTGATGAAGGTGGTTTTGTTCAGCATATTTTTGTTGGGTTCTTTGCTCATATTTGTTTCAGCAAATGAGGAGACTTTGAAAGAAGTTGCTTCTGCTGAGATTGAAATTGAAGAAATTCATGTTAATTTTCTTAGAAAGGCGGTTAATTTCCTATGGCAAAGTGGTCAAAACACTTATGAACATGTTTGGCCGGTAAGTTAGTTTTTTTTTTTTTTTAATTATTTGGGTGTTCATAAATTGATTTGATTTGAATTGGGATTGAATGAATGAATAAATTTATATGATTGAATGTCACAGGACATGGAATTTGATTGGAAAATTGTAGTGGGGTCATTGATTGGATTCTTTGGAGCTTCATTTGGGAGTGTTGGAGGAGTTGGTGGGGGTGGTATCTTTGTTCCCATGCTTACTTTGATTATTGGATTTGATTCCAAATCTTCAACCGCCATTTCAAAGTGTAAGGATTCTCTGACATTCATCTTTCTTAAATCCTTCACTTTTCAATAATTTCCCAGCACCTTTTTATGTATATTATTATGTTACCTGAGCTACTAGCAAAGGATCTGATTTTCATAAAGTTAATTTTTGCTGATTCTGATTATTATGAGGTTATAATAGTTTTTCTTTTACTTGAATTTGTAACACGGATCGGGATTCTCTCCAGTAACTAGGTGGTCAAGTTCTATGAGTGTTGTGAATCAATCAATCTAGTAACTCGATGGTCCAGTAACCGGAGAGGATCCTATCTCGTAGATTGTATTCGAATTTTTAAAAATAGTTGAATTAAGCAAAGTGTCTTTAGCTTTTGTGTAGTTTCTGAAATGTTGGGTTGTTTGTTCAGGTATGATTATGGGAGCAGCAATTTCAACTGTTTACTATAACCTTAAACAAAGGCATCCAACTATGGAGATGCCTGTTATTGATTATGATCTTGCACTTCTCTTCCAACCAGTGTTGGTTCTTGGGATCAGTATTGGAGTTGCCTTTAATGTTATTTTTGCTGACTGGATGATCACTGTTTTGCTCATCATTCTCTTTTTATGTAAGTAAAGAAATTGGTTAAAGTTTAATTATACAAATTAAGTACTTCGTATTAAATTTGAGAAAGTTAATAAATTATCACTTTGAATATGCAGTTACATCTACAAAGGCATTCCTCAAGGGTGTTGATGCTTGGAAGAAAGAAACTATCATGAAAAAGGTCCTCCACTTTAGTGATTCCTTCAGCTTTAATTTTCATTTCTTATTTTTTTGTTTGTTTCATTTACTAACATTGAACCTTATGTTTTCAGGAGGCTGCTCAACGTTTGGTGTCAAACGGTAGCTGATTTCGCCCTTTTAAAAGTTTCGTTACTTTATCGAATTATTTGTGCTTTTTTGTTTCTTTTTAATCAAAAAGTTTATCTTGTTATCAGGTGATAATGGTGATTACAAACCTCTTGCAGCTGTTCCCAACAAAAGAGAAGAGGTAAGATTAGTACCTCATAAATTAATGAACCCCCTTTCTCTAATATTTATAGTCATATGTACTTTGTTTATGTAGTACTCGTATATCTTTTTAAGATGCTGGGAATAATTTGTTATCTTTCCTTGTATATAGTACAGAGTAATGGTCGATGATCAAATTAAGTGATGAGGAGAGTATTGAAATGGTTGACACATAAGTATTATCAAGGGTCTTATTGTACAAAAATCATGTTATATTTTTATTGTGAGGTCTTTTTGACACTAAGAAACTTAATTCCGAATTTAAGATGCATTATGGTTGCAAACTTGCACATAGGTAGTTACACTTCTCCTGAATTTGCAAATCCTTGGGAGTTTTACTTCCTAGGAAGTGAGTAAAATTGTTAGGTTTATAACTAGGTGGAATGTCCTACAAAGTAGAAAATGTTGTTTACAATTTGAATCCTGAGTAGTTTCTTAGGAAATATTGATCTGATTCTTCTGCAATTAACTCAGGTATCCATCAGAGAAAATGTACACTGGCCATCAGTGGCCATATTGTTTGCCGTTTGGTTTGCGATTTTAGGACTTGAAATTGCCCAGGTTTGTTCTGAACTTTTACTGATTTCTTAAGCATTAAATAAAGTCCATGCAACTAAACAATGAGTTTTGTATCTTGCAGAAGAACACCTCTACTTGCTCCCCTGCATATTGGGTAACCAATCTATTGCAGGTACCCCTCCATACTCTACTTTTTATATGTCTACTAAATCAATTATTTAATCATCTCATTGTCAACAATATCCTTAGAGCTAATTTTTTATTTCATTTGTGAAGATTCCTGTGGCACTTGGAGCATCAGGCTATGAGGCATATTTGTTGTACACGGGAAAGAGAGTGATTGCTTCAAGAGGCGATGCAATCGGTGCTTGGAAAGTGCACCAGTTGATTCTCTGCCTCTTTACTGGAGTGGTTGCTGGAATGGTTGGAGGACTTCTTGGTCTTGGTGGAGGATTTATTTTAGGCCCTTTGTTTCTAGAGTTGGGCATCCCTCCTCAGGTCAGTTTACCCTCAAACTTGGAAATATGTGGTATTCTTTGCCTTTTATTTTAATGTGGACCTGCCTCCTGATTTGTCCTGCATTAGGCTTTAATAGCCAATAATTGTGGGTAGCATTATAAAGGGAAGGGAGGGGTGCTTAGTCTATGTCATTCTTAGGGGGAGAAAAAAAACCTGTGATGAGCTCTCAAATACAGGTGGACTTGCACTACTTGCTTAATTATAGTTAGTGCTGTATGACTTAGTATTTAGTAATGTCAATCTTCATGCTTCCCCGTCCAAATTTGAAAGTCACTTTTTCATGTTTAGTAAATGCCACATTTCTAAATGTTGTCCCAAGAAGAAATTCTTTCCTAAAGGAAATAATTCAACAAGATTTATTATTATGTTAGAGATGAAGGATGACGTAGAGTCGTAAATATAAACATTAGCTACACTAATGGGCGTCAGTTTTTTTTGTAAATATTTTTCGCCTTTTCATAAACTTTAGCTAGATAAACCTTTAGTAATTAATCAATTAATTGATAATGGGCAACGGTTTTGTTTTGTAAATATTTTTCCTAATAATGTTTGTCAATTCTTCAATGCTGTATTATAAGAAAAAATGAAGTACTAGTGAACATAATTAGGTGTTGTTCGTGATAACTAAGATAGTTAGTAGGATGATTGCTGACAGATAAATATTTGGTTCAGACATCACTCATCAATGCTTTTTTAACCTTTCCTGCCAAATACTAACTGCTCCAATTCCTTTGCTCATATCTTGATGCAAAGTCTCATATTGGGAAAATATTAATGAGAATTTAAGGATGTGGTGGACCCTTGTGGTTGTCGTGTTACAATAGTCGTCTTTTAAAAAGAACCATTGTAGAATAATTGTATCTTTATCTGTGTAATAAAATGCCAAATTATCAATTATTGGACTCAAGTTGACAATTGCTGCAATATAATGTTTGTTCCCTTTTTTAACAGGTTTCAAGTGCTACAGCTACCTTTGCCATGATGTTCTCTTCATCAATGTCCGTTATAGAATACTACCTTCTTAAACGATTCCCAGTGCCATATGGTAAGCTCCGGCCTACAATCTCTTAAACACCGACTGAAAATTTGCTTAGTCATTTTCTTAAGCATATGGTTCTTCTTGCAGCTGCCTACTTTGTTGCTGTTGCTACGTTTGCTGCCTTATTCGGGCAGATTCTTGTGAGGAAATTGATTGCTGTTATTGGAAGAGCCTCTCTCATCATCTTTATCTTGGCATTCACTATTTTTGTCAGTGCAATTTCACTTGGTAAGTATCGAGTATAACTTGTCATGCCATTCCTTTTCTTCCACATTGATTTTGGCTTCGTTTATCTCACTCGAAAACCATTTTGTGAACCTATCTGAATTCACGTGCTGAATCGTTTCTACCTCTGCAGGTGGTGTAGGCATTTCAAACATGATAACCATGATTCAAAATAACGAGTACATGGGATTCGACAGCTTGTGCGCATATGATCCATAGTGAAGCAAAATTATGAATTTTTGAATTGTTTTTGTGCAAGTAAAAGCTCTACAAGGAAGCGAGTGGTGAAAAAATCATTAGTATGCTGTTAAGAATAGTACCTCCTCTTGCTGTCAGAGCGAAAGTGAGTTCAGAGTGTTTGGTGTAATTTTTTAGCTCCTCCAAATGTTTGTCGTTAGGTTTTTAGCAAAATTTTTGTGCTCAAGTCAAATGCACTTGTACTCCTCAGCTTATTGATTCAATAAATTTACAGCAGAAGCTAGCTTTAGCTGTCATTTATACCTATCCTTGGTGCTATTTTTTGTAAAAATCTATCTTTCTATTAATCTATTGCCCATCATTTTTATCCCCCACGCTTTACCTGAAATTTCATTGTTTTAAACTTTTTATTTTTTTTTTGAAACAAAAAAGCAGGAAATTATTGCATATCGAGGTCCACCAAAGTAATGATATTACTTTGGGGGAACGGTTTATACAAACTAACTCATCGTTACCAATAATACTCGCCACTTCATCAAAAAAATTATCGTATAACAAATTAACAGTACAAAATTATAAGTATGAGAGATGCTACACCAATCATTATCATCTCTTCGTACAAAACATCAACATAGTATTGCTTACTATTGTATTATGTAGTATCACCCTCTATGTTTGGATTCATACAAGGTACGATTACCTTTACACGCAGTAGTTCCAATGCTATTCCAATCATTGTTTGAATAAGATTTTCTTCATGTCTTTTACTAATATTTTCTCTATTTTCCTTACTTCTAACATATATTCGACCCACAAATTAAGGAATAAATTAAAGAAAGTTAAATGACATAAATCAATTAAAAATCAATTTTTGGACAAAATTATGATCATTTTAAACCCTAGTAAGAGGATCATTTGCTTAATAAATTCTAAATTATTTTAATTAACTTTTCAGGTTACTTTTTGAATCTCTTCTTTATCATATGTACCAAAAGAATATATTGCCCATATTATTAAAAAAATAATCCGAGAATAATATATTACATCTATTGTTTAAAGTCAGAAATTTAAACAATAACAACACTTATAAGCCTAAGCTTGACTTAAAACGACACAAAGCATGCATATTGTGAAGAAACCTTTTTAATTAATTAGAAAAAGGAATATTTTACCATCGATGAACTTGTATTATATCTCAAAAATACATCGATGTTGAAATCACATAACTAAAATCAAATAATTATTTTCTTAAAAAAATCCTAAATTTTGTTTTTTTACCCAAATTTCAAATAAACCAAAAAAAACAATTGAAAGTTAGTACTTGACTACTTGTACAAGGAATACTGGAATATGGATCTTTGGCACGGAATCGTTGTAGTATACTAGTATCTCTATGTCTCACATAATTGTCTTATATAAAACGAATCAAATTATGAATCAATTTTATAAAGCTCAAATAATTATATTTAAATAAAGGAATCATATTCATGGTCTACATTGATTAAATAAATTAATTTCTCGATGAGATCTAGAAAAAATTGTTGACGTCACTAAAAAAACAATAGAAAGTATCTTAAGGTAGGCGAGAAGCATGTCTCCAAGATAATTTCTGAAAATTTATATAAATTAATCAATTGACTGAAAAACTAATAGGAATTAGTAATAATTTATTTAAAAAATATAGAGTCAATTTTTTTGATAGGAATATATTTTCATCACATGAGATTAATGAATATTATATATTGTATGATCCAACACGGCTTGATTAATTTATGGAGGCTGATCGATTTGATAACTTGTGTAATTCTATTTTAATTATTAGTAGTTGACGTTTTTGTCATTATTGATCAACTTGTGAATTATATTATAATGTATCGTTTGTATTCAAATAGAGAAGTTCTTTTGTCTTTAGATGTAAAAAACAATGTAATATGTAGACAACGTATTATTAATAGATGTTAAAAGTCTTGAAGTTAATACTGTAAGTAGCTAAATTGATGCTTACAAAGTTTCCAATGTTGTAATGTAGGAGAACTAATTTCGAATTAAACACAACAAAAACCGACTAGACCTGAAATGCAATTAAGATATGGTTTATAACCTTGTTTATGATCATTGTTATTTTACACAAATTACATTGTACGTAGTATATGCTATTAAGATATGGTTTATACATATATCACGCTAACTAGTTGAATAAGCGTGTTAAATTCTTTTAATATGTAGGGTGCACCTCAACTCGAAGTTGCTGTATTATGAACAGGAAGAGTGATTAATTATAAAGTCTATTAAGAATTGCATTTTGTTAAATAAACATCAATTTTGTTATACAATTTAATTCCAATTTTAATTTGTACCCGTAATAATTAATAATAATAATTATTTCGATAAGTGATAGAAAGAGAGGGATGACCAAAATTTATGGTCGTTGGTGTGTAAGGTTGATATGAAAGATCATGCTAATTGTGTTATAATTGTGTCAAATTGTCAAACTAGCTATTAATATTGGAATAATTGGAGTATTCAATAGAAAAGAAAAGAGAATAATTTTAAATCACATGGTCCTTCAAATCAAGTATGTAGTGGAGTAATTTCTGTAGAAAAGTTCAACGGTGAAGAGATGGGAAGTTTAATATATGTTTAAAGAATCCAAAGAAATTAATTAATAATTACTGCCTTGATTGAAATTGTTGTCTTTAATCTCATCCTAGCTTCAATCTTGTTCCGCACCATTTTGCATGATGTGGATTGGAGTAATTGTTAGTACGTGCTAACAGAAAGCTCAATAAGAGTTTGGTCGATCATTAATGATTATTACATGCTCCTCGTTTAATCAATAACCTCTATACTAAAAGACATATCAGCAATGACATGTGTCATTTTCTGGTGTGTCAAAAAAAAAAAAAAAATTTAGGAAACAAATCTTATATATAAATATAAGATTAAAAGATTTAATGTATCCTTGCACTATATATATTGATACCATAAGTTAAAGTTAAAAAAATGAAAATTAAATTCTTAACATAATTTGTGACATACAAAGTGCTATATACTACTCTTACCATTTTTACAATAAGGATTTTTTTTTTAATATTTGTGTATTTAATTATGTTTGAAAAGCTTGCTAGGAAAGATATGAATTTTTTTCTAAGCCAGTTGATTATTGAGAAGAAAAATAAATACCGCGTAAGAGGGAATGGATTAATAGTGTATAAAAGGTAAATCTATTTACGAATTAGATACATAGTTGTAAGATATTCATTTGGTTAAAAGAAGAAATGATATAAATTAGTTAGTGAAATATATATAAATATACATATATGTGTATTTTAAATTATCTATTTTGCTAATAATAGACTCTTTCATAATTAATACATTTTATAAAGTAGTAACTTAAATAGATTTTTTTTTATAATTAAATATAATGTTAATAATTATAGAGTAATAAGTCTCGCGAGTCTAGGGTCTTTTCGCTCTAGGGTTTGTCGAGTGGCTTTCTGGATTTGGTCGAGTGGTTCGTCCCGTCGAGAAGGGGTGGTTAGGGTGATTGTGTCGTGGTAGGAGGATATGGTAGATGAATTGTCGAAGCGATGGGAGAAACTAAGTATTACAGAAGAAGAAGATGATGCTACAGTTTTAGAGAAGAATGATGTAAATTCGATTCCTAGTAATATCAACCTATCGGTGGTTGGGAAAGTTCTATCCCTTAGACCGTTCAATTTTGAGGCATTGCAAAACACCCTCAAGAAGGTTTGGTCCATTGCTCGAGGGGTTGTATTTAGAAGAATTGAGAATGATCTCTTCATTATCCAATTCTTTCATTGGAAGGATAAAGAAAAAATTTTAAATGGAGAACCGTGGAGTTTTGATAATAACCTGATAATCTTGAAGGAGATACATGGGGATGAACAGCCTGATTCAATTCAGATGAAACTTTGCCCTTTTTGGATTAGGTTATATAATTTACCTCTAGATTGCCGATCAAATGATGATATAAAAACAATTGCGGGTAAGGTGGGGATGGTGTTGGAAGTCGAGGAGGATGTTCTTGGATGGGATAAATCGAGGAGGGCTAGAGTCCTGGTGGACACAACAAAACCTATTAGGAGGGTTCAAAAAATTCGAACCAAAAATGGAACGGAGACTTACGTACAATTTAAGTACGAAAGGCTCCCGAATTTCTGTTTTAATTGTGGCTTATTAGGGCATACCCAAAGGGATTGTCCCAAGGATGAGAATGTTGAGGAGAGTTTAGAGAAACAATGAAGAATGTGGCTCAAGGCATCACCCAGAATAGGTTTCTTTCAACGCTAAGATGAAGTAGAAAATCTATGCAAGGGAAAGAAGCTGATATCTACTCATAAACCTCAGCAAGATGGAAAGCGAGATGTAGTAAAGGAGGGGTCGTCTGACAGTAGGAGAAAAGGGTGTGATAAGGAAATACAACTAGTTGCGTTATATGATGATACGAGCCAGAGACGAGTGCTTCGTCCTTCAAGAATTGGGGCTAATGGGGAGAGTGAAAAGATAGGTTATGAGGAGGAGGAGGATACTGTGAGGGAGGAGGGGCATTGGGTGAGGGGGAAGGGGTTTGATCAGCTCGAGCTTTTAAGCAGGGGAAAGGGAGAGAATGGGGTGAATGAAGGAGGGGAAGGAGTGGATAGTAGGGAAAATGTGTTGGAGGGGAATGTGACTAGTGGGGGGGAGGGTGAAGAGGATCACGGGTTGGAAGTGGGAGGGAAGAACAAAAGATGGAAAAGGTTGGATAGGATGCTATTGGGCTACTCTTATGGTGATGCAAATACGGGTGGGTTGGTGGCTTCGTGTGCAGGTCAAAAAAGGGTGGGAGGGGGCAGCTGGGGGAGGGAGACATTGAAGCAGTAGAGAAGAAGGATGAAAAGAAGAGAAAGGTGGGGTGTAGTGCTAGTACCGGGGACGGCTATATCCAAGTAAAGGTGGATGGAATAAACCATCCCCTCGAACGACAATGAAAATTCTTAGTTGGAACGTCTTCGGGGCTGGCAACTCGAGGATGGTGAACACCCTCCGGAACTTGTGTTGGAGGAATAGGCTGAATGTGGTTTTCTTGATGGAAACCAAAGTAGATAGTGGGGTGATGGAGAGATTGAAGCATAGATGTGGGTATGAAAATGGCATATGTGTTAGTAGTGTGGGAAGATCGGGGGGGCTGTGTATGTGGTGGAGGGATGTCAAGGCAAAAATAGTCTCCTACTCAAATCACCATTGTGCTATTGACATATGCGGGGAGAATGGTTCGTTCTCCCATATGGAGAGCTATGGGCATC